AGATGTATGCCAGGCGCGTCGCAGCGTAACAGTGTTTCGTGGGATATCGCGAAGCCTGTTACGCGAGACGTGGTCTGGCGTACATCTACCTAGTAACAAGAGGGCCCATCATGAGAACACAATACACAATGCCGTGAATTGGCCATACTGGAAGTACCCTCCCGCCCCACCGCCCTGCCACCGCCCCACCAAAGCGGTCAGACTATTGAGATCCTCCAATGCCGACGTCAGAAAGCTCACTGAGTGGCAAACCGCGCGAGATTCCAAATGAGGGTCCGGGGAAAATGTTGACAAAGTTGAAATATAATGATAGATCGCAGGGCCCAGTTAAAGAGAGATATGGCGACAACATTTTCTGAATCATTAAATTGGATCCATTTGCTTTTTTAACGCCATTGAAATAACACAAAAGTTCTTGATAAAGTCGTAAAATAGCAAAGAATTCAAAGAAATATTTTGCTGAGTTAGGATGAGCGTTTCCAAAAGAAAAGATTTCACAAAAATGCCACAAGGCGGAATAAAGGAATTTCTTGTTAAGAGGGTAAACCCAAAAATCCTACCACCCTTTAGTATGGACTATGGAAATAGGCCACTTATGTTCGCAATAAGAAAGAGGATTTGACGTCTGCAGTAATTTACAAAGAAACTAGGTAGATGTACGCCAGACCACGTCTCGCGTAACAGGCTTCGCGATATCTCACGAAACACTGTTACGCTGCGACGCGCCTGGCATACAGCTACCTAGGCCTGCGGCGCTGACACCCGAGTCGGGTAGTGCTAAATGCACACAAAGATACGGGCCTCCGGCCCGTTAACGGCCCGTCACTTTGACTAAGAATGCATGGTTGTACACTTTTTCGCTTATTTTCGTCAAGAACACCCTCTAGCGCCTCAACGGTTTGAGCTAGAGCAAAACGGAGAAAATTTTCGCCCACAGGGTTCTACTTTGATGAGTTACCCCTTAGGAGACTGTAAAAAAAATATTTATAAAAACATTTGTGGGACCTGTGGTTTTTCATTTTTTAAAAATCTAATTTTTGAGCTAGAATGCTCTTCTTTGAACTTGATCTGTCTTTTTATGATACAAAACGACCCTGAAAATCCCAGGTCGCTAGCTCAATTCGTTCTCGAGTTATCGTGATGACAGACAAACACACAGACAGACAGACAGACACACAGACAGACACGAAACTTTTTGATCATCACTGGAGTAATAGGCTTCGCTAATCGCTCAGCCAATAACAGTGCTTATTAAATTGATTTAATATTTTGAAACAATGAGAAGAGGATTGATAGATAGCACATATGTTATTAAACAGATAAATTAAACATCCGCCTAGATAGACTCAACATGAGATAAAAAAATCACCCGAAAATAACCTAGCTATACTGCACTCTCAAATCAAATGAGCAAGGAGTCAACAATGCTTTACAACCTTAAATGGTCTACATACTAATTCGTATTACCAAACTGAAATCACTTGCACAATTACAAAATACGAAGACTTCTGAAAAAAGTTTACACTCAAAGACTTATAGACTAGACCAATAATAAACATGGGATTAAAATTGGATTTCTCCTACGTTGTCAGGTCTCAATAGCAAGGGTCAGTTTTTACAGTGTAATTTTAATCTCAAGTATATAATTCCGGGACACACAATGGCTCCACACCAAAAGAAACTGAAGTCCTGATATGTGAAGTAATAAACTTGAAACAGTTAAACACAAAGCCATTACAAAAGCTAAAATAAAATATAGATTAAATGTACAAAAAGACATGTCATTGGTATGAAATTGACACTCTACTCAGAATTACCATGTACATTACAGATCAAATGTTTTCATTAACTAGGTTGAACAACCTAAAGACAAATTAAACGCATCAACCAAATATAGTAGACTTACTTGTGAATAGACCCACATGAAACCTGAGCAACACAGTTAAGCAAGGCTGAACCGTCACACCATGAGCCACATTTAACTGCGGGGTCTGGGTGAGCACAGTATACCCCACAGCCAGACCTGGCCAAGGAAGCAACAGCCCAGCCCCATTCAAATCTGCTACCCGTAAAAACTAAGGCCCTAGGACTCTGACCAGATTAATTGACAGATAATAAAATAACAATGTCCCAGAATCTTGACATTGGAAATCACACAAAACATCCCAAGTTACACTTTTTGATTTGATGAAAAAAAAGGACTTCAGTGACACAGTGATGTGTGACAAAGCTGTTCAACCTATTCAACAGTTGCTGATTTTGAGGTTTCAAATAACATAAGATAATTAAGATGAAAAAAAATGAGAAATTTTGGGCTTACAGAATTATAAGACCTCACTGCACAGCCTGGGTAGACAAGTGTACCCTGCAGTGAGGTCATCAAGGCTTAAAACCTACAGAATATCAAAGCAGCCAAATACACTGATATAAAAAGAAACGTTAAAGATAATAGTGGGGGTTGGTGCAATTACCATCAGCGTCAAAGTGAGCGTAAGGACGCTTGGTTGAGAGCTTGCCCCCACACACGTAACAAAAGTGGAACAGTACTCACATGTAACGTGATCACATCCAATAAGTTTCTGAAAAGAAAAGTAAATCAGTACACCTGACGGCACGAATTATTCACAATAAGCAAACACCACAACTTACATTAAAACTTATGAAGCAGTTGAGGCAACACTGCTCATCATCCACCTTACGGTTCTGATATTCCCAGGCATCTTTGATTTCAAGCAGATACTCATTGCTGTACTTGTCAATCTCATCTAGAAAGGAGTCCGTATCGCTCAGTTGGTACAATTTCTGCACTTTCATTGCATCACACACTGAGCAAAAAAACAAAAAACAAAGATAAAGTCACTGACCAAATAGAAACTTTGATAAGTGAAAGGCTGTGTAATACACTTACAAAGATAGTCTAGGGTATCTGCCCCTTCATAGTAGAGCAAGCACTTCTTGCAGTAGCACTTGCGACATCTTTTGCACAGTGTAATTTTGTATTTCTCAATATAGAACTGGGGAAAGACTTTGGCCCCACACCATGGACAGGGAAACACACAGAATGCCCTCACGGTTTGTGACTCAATTCTCATAGTGCCCCAGCCTTCCATTTTGTCAACCAAGAGTGTGGAATACCACTAACATATTGAAGCAGGTCAAACTTAGTATACTGCGTAAAACGTTGGTACTCCACACAAAATGGAAAGCTGGTGGAAGAATGAATAAGATCCATCATACACTTATAGCAAATTGGGTGCTTTGTTCGCCCTACATTTGGTGACGTTTTATAGTTGCCAGATGTGGGGGCTGTCTTGAACCAACGGCCGCTCTCACGGCGGTCTCGGGCCCTGTCACAGGGTGCCCACGGGGGCCGCCGGGTCCCGTCACCAGCACCTAGCATAATTAGTTCACAATCAAATAGTGATTCAATTGTCCCGGGGTGCCATTGGCCTCGCGGTCCGAGGTTGTGCGGCGCGGATGGCACTGAGGCCGCGATGGGCCCGCACCCACCCTGCGCTCGCGCGCCGGCCCCGCGAAGGGATCCGAGGCGCGCACGTGCTGCATCGCATTGATTATGATGTGCGGGGCCGACATCGCGGTCCTGGGCTGCTGCCGTGCACCTCGCCCGGCCCGAGGCCTCCAGCATCCGGCAGGCGGACACCACCAGGCGGCAGGACCGAGCTGGCGGGCAGGCAGGCGGGACGCGTCGTCTTGGACTCGGGGCAGCAGGGCCCGCCCTCGTGTGACTTCGGGTGGGGGTGGCGGGGGAGACGTCCTCCTCACCCCTGGCCCTCGGGAGGGCACCTCGGGGGCGGTGCAGCCCTGCTGCTAATGAGTGCTGATTGGCTCTGGCGAACCGGGGGTTCGCCGGGCCGCCCGGGTCCAGGACTTCGGGGGCTGCGAGGAGGGTGACGGAGCTCGGGAGGACACGCCGAGAGGACTGTGCGTTTGTGTATGTGAGTGTGCACCTTGGTGGAAATGATAATGCTGTGTACACTTTCTGGCCATGTTACCTTTCGTTTTTTTTTTTGCCTACCTCACCATAGAGCAGCAAAAGCAGCAGCTGCTGCTGCGGCGGCTGCTGCTGCAGCGGCTACAGCAGCTAACGCCGCCACGGCCCCTCCGTCGGCACACAGAAAAGCTGCTGCAGCGGCAGCACTCGCCACAGCAGCAAAAGCTGCTGCTGCAGACGCACATGATGCTGATGCTGATGCTCTTAACGGGGCTATCGTGGCATCTGTGGGATACGAAAATAAATGAAATGAAAGGATATTATTCTAGGACTTCGATAAATGTTTCACAGGCGAATCAGCCTTGCTATAGGGACAAATTGCTGACACTTTGGTTGAATTACACTCACAAATCGCAAAGTAACAGGACAGAAACAAAAAACGCCAACGGTCGAAGAAACGGCTTTGGCGGTTTGACGTTGACGGTAACAACGAACTTCGAACGTCGATTGTTTCGCGGCCAAACTCAACCTGTGCTGTGATTGGTCGGTCCGTATCGCAGCGCCATCTCTTGGAGGTCGACG